AAGTTTCCCCTTTAAGGACTGTCATACTTGAACCTTCATGGCATCGCATGCACTCTCCAGGGTGCTGAATGCTTTATCAAAAGCAACCCAGCACACTTGCTTGCATGCCAATACTGCATTTGTTTCCCGTTGGCCAACATACAGATGGGGAAAGGCGGTGCTGCTAGTTGACACTCACTTGCATTAATTCAAGACAGCACCACAGAATGGCCAGTCGGGTGGTGGGCAACAATTGCGGCCCTGCACGTGGTTTCCCCATCCTCCCGAAGCCACGTCAACTCCTGCCAGCTGTTGCTCTGCTCCCCTGGCTGTCGTGGAGGCTGCTGGGTTCCCACCAAACCCAGATTCAAAATTTCAGCCTATCCGTGGTGGCCTGGGCAGCTGGAGCAGACCAGTTTAGGGCAGGCGTCACTCTGGTCCGCTCCTGAAGCACAAAAGAGGGCCAGAGCTGCCACCAGCAGTGCAGTTGGCCCCAGAGTGTGTCTCTCTCCCCCCCACCCAAGCCATTTACCCATTTTATTTTATTTTTCTTACAGGCTAACCTTTCTCCTTTCTCCTTTCCAGGTTCATGGGTGTTGCTATGGTCATAGGATGGTTGCTGCTTTCCAGAGCCGGGAAGGAATTTTCCCTGCTCTGCAGATTTTCCCTTCCCCATAGCAACTGTCACAACTTTGGTGGTTTTAGGCCTTGGATGGAATCCTTTAGTCTAACAACTGAAGAAGGGGTGAAGTGGTTACTCATCCCTTCCGTGGCAGCAACGGCAGGGCACTCCATTAGAGGGGTCTTAAGGGGTGTCTCTGTCCACAAGCACATAGCAAGTGGGCCATAGAACTCCCCCCAGCACTGTGGGAGGGGACCTGCTGTGTAAATGCACATTTTGCAGTGGTCCCATATTCTCGTTTGACCCTACCATGCCTCAGACCCCCATCTGGGGGCTGAGAGGGATACACACGCAATGCCTGTGCCAAGGTTTCCTACAAAGGAAATTTGATAAAGCTGTGGCCATTTTGATCCCAGAATACATTGTCATGTCTACTCCTTTGCCCTTGAGGTCTGAACCTGGGCACACAAGGAGATCCAATGCACAAAGATGCATTCCAATTTTAACTAGATGGTAGCTTTAATACGTGGTTGTACTCTTTTTGAAACTAGAAAAAACAAAAAATGGATGGAAATTGCAGCATTCTGAGTTAAACAGGAACCAAGCATACATTGAAGGAAATGAAGGGGATTTGATAAAATGTTGGCTTTTAATGTATGGAACTACATTCAATGTTTCACATTGTTTGTTTTGTTCTGCTGTTTTCCTGAGCTTTGAAATAGACGTGACAAAATCCCACCTAGCACAAAACAGTAAGCAAATCCTACTGGGACCAAACATATACACAGCCTCTGATCTCTTCATCATACCTTGTACTCTAAATAGTTCTGAATGGATGCAAATTCTCATCCTAGTCAGATGGGTTCGGATATTCTAAAGACATAATTAGAGACAGGTGTGGACTAGAAGGATCAGATTCAAGTACTCTCTGAGTTTGGACAGGGCCTCAGTTCAGTGATAAGCAATTCTAGGGCCTTGGCTACAGCTTAGCTGGAGTTATAAATGTAAGATAAACAGCAAGGGTGGTTGATAACTGCCTTTCATAAACGGTGTAACTATTACACAGTTCAACAGCCTTAAAATAAATAGTGCATCATCAGCCAAGTATGGAAATAAACATTTCACCACTTTGAGCATCATCAGTCTCATTTCAGTGCTCGGTAGGTCATCAATGTTTTGACTCTCAGCCCAATTTCAATAGTGCTGAATGCATAAATGGCACACAGACTAGATTAGCTTCAGACAGGGGCATTCATCACCACTTGTTCTAAAAGAATCCTCTACGAGATGCTAAGAACTTACCCCTGCCGGCACCTTTCATAAAAGTTTCCATCACAAGGGACCACTAAAATGGACTAATTGAAGCAATTTCAGTGCAACCCTATCAGCATTTACTTAGAAGTAACACTGCATTCAATGGGATTAACTCGAAGGTAAGTGTGCATAGCGCTGCAGTCTTGCCTAGTTGTTGGTGATATTTCTAGACCTTTACCCCAAGGTTTCAGGGTGGGAGTACAACATCTTAAAACACATTAATAGCAATAAAACCAAAAGCACATACAACAAACAAACGATTGCAAAATAAGTAATCAACATCAACACACTTTCAGAACTGGCAATATTCAGTAGCCATTGAACGACTCCTTATAATCCCCAATCCCTACTAAAGACCAGAGCAATGAGGTGCATCTTAATAAAGTTAGCACAATACACACCTCAAAAATCATTCCAGAGATGGAGCGCCACCACAGAGAAGGTCCTGTTACATCCCACCACTCCCTTTCTTTTAGCTGTCCATTTAAGTTCCTTTGAAATAATTTCAAACTGTCAAGTAAATATACCGTATTGGCCCAAATATAAGCCACACCTGAATATAAGCCACACCTTTAAAATTGGAAGGGGGGGAGAAAAAAGAAAAGATACCCGAATATAAGTCGTTCCATTCCTCGCTGCTCCTGGCTGCATACTGGGGGGGGACCATGCTGTGTTGCCAGTGGCCCTTCCCCTTCCTCACTCTCTCCCTTCCCGGCCTTGGGGGAGAGGATGGGGTACTACACACAGGGCAGACACCACTTTGCCATGCTCTTGGCACTGTTTGCCTCATGCTCCTGCCTGCATACCGCAAGGTTGTGAATATAAGCCGCACTTTAACTTTTCATGGTCAGAACTTGGGGAAAAAGTGAGGCTTATAGTCAGGCCAGTATGGTAGATAGCATCCAGTTGTTGCAGCCTAATTCCTAACTAAAGCTAACTAAATTCAATATTCAGGAACTTTGAGAGATTCATTTGAAGGCAGGTCTAATATTTAAAGACAAAGTAGCTGAGGGTTCTTTCTGCACTTCTTTGTCTTTCTATCTCACTACACACAGCTTTTGCCACACCTTCAAGTCTTCAGCAGCCTAGCAGCATTCTTGGGACAGAGGCTCCTGACGGGAGTGACCTTCATCATGAAATAGCATCATTCCTAAAAGTATTCTTGGGGTAGGGGAAAGACAGCTGCCCCTATTAGAAAATGCATTATCCTCGTCACCTGGACAACCATGAAGCTGTCAGCTTGGGACATGTTGTCACTGTTGTCTCAGGGCTTTCCCTGAGCTATAGATCCTAACCTCTTTGGACCACAGAGGACCCCTGCCATATGGATACTCAGAGAAGGAGTCACCAGCCAGACTCATGATTCACGCAGAGATGGCCCAACATGTTTGGTAAATGGACCACCAATCAAATTCTAGAGTTGCTCCTGTCTGCACTAGAGCACATAGAATCACAGAACTGTAGAGCTGGAAGTGACTACAAGGGTCATCTAATCCAACACCCTGCAATGCATAAATATTTTGCCCAACGTGGGGCTCAAACCTCCGACCCCAAAATTAAGAGTCTCATGTTCAACCAACTGAGCGCAGCCTCATCCCTTCTGATGCCATGATGAGGTGTTTTGGTTTTGGTTTCGGTTTCAGTTTACCTTTGTCCTTACTGTGCTGGGGAGCAGGCAGCACTATCCTTTAGGGAAACAAGCAATAGTCTTGACCAGGGGTCAGCAAGCTTTTTCAGCAGGGGGCCGGTCCACTGTCCCTCAGACCTTGTGGAGGGCTATATTTTGGAAAAAAATATGAACGAATTCCTATGCCCCACAAATAACCCAGAGATGCATTTTAAATAAAAGGACACATTCTACTCATGTAAAACCACACTGATTCCCAGACCGTCAATGGGTCAGATTTAGGAGGCGATTGGGCTGGATTTGGCCCCTGGCCCTTAGTTTGCCTACCCATGGTCTTGACTCTAGGCTAAGATTCCTTCCCTTTCCCTTCCCCTCCTCCTCCTTAGGAGCGCTGCAGATCCATGTGCCTGTGGCCATTATTTCACCCTTGCCACAGGTTAGATGCACACAGTCTATACCACTTCGTACCATCCATCATAATATAAATACCCACTGCAACCCCTGACAGCTATAGGAATACTTGCCAGCAGCTCCCCTGTCACTGCAGTTTGGGACAGTCTGGAGCAGACCCCTTAACACTGTGTCCTCCTTCACAAGCTGCACATTTGGAAGGAAAAACAACACCCCTGCTTTGTCAATATTCCAGGAGGGTCCTCTAATGATTATGTTTGCCCACCACCTAGGGAAAGAGGGATGAAAGCAACTCCCTCAGTTACCTAGGTAACACAAACATGCTGCCTTATCTTCTGGTGATGTGCTGCAGTCTTGCACCACAGTGCCAAAAGACATGGCAGCATCCCTTAGGCCAAGGAAGGAGGAATCTCCTGCAACAAAGGACCACACACACCCCATGGTTATCCAGGGGCCTACATACCAGTAGTGGGGTGTGGCCAGAGGCAAAAAATGGGAGGAGCAACAGATGCCACTCTTGCCTTTGTGCATTCAAGCCATACACAGTTCAGAGTTCTCCACATGCTCCTCGCTCCCTTCAGGCAAGTTAAGAGGCATTATCACAGTTTGAGAACACATCCCAGCCAGCAGAAAGCAGTCAAGAAAGGGGCAGAGGAAGGCTTGGGAGGGGGAATGGCAGTGGGACGGGTATGTCCTGAGAAACCCCAAGAGCCAGACGGAAAGGCCTGGAGGACTGCATTTACTCCTTGTGCTTGAAGTTCCCCACCACTGCCCCAGCGATTGGACAGTCCCCCCCCCCACCTGCCAATATTCTTGTGCTGCAGCAACCTAAGGAAAATTGCCATGCTTCTCAATCTTTCCGTGGTGGACTGGGAAACTGAATCGCATCCCCAGAGGACAGGGAAGCACCCTGGCAAGTTCCAGGCAACTGACCAATGGTGACCAACTCCCCATGCTGTGCTGCTGCCTAGGCAACCCGGGGACACACATTTAGAACAATGCTTTCCCTCAGCAATGACTGTACATCACCAGTTCCAATTGGCTCTGTGGAAGCATGACATCACCTTGTTCACAACATGATCCTTCATTGGCTAGGATTGTGAGGTAAGGGAGGAAACAAAATGGCACAGAGGAGGAAGAGGAGGAGGGGAGAAGTGTGTCGTTGCTCCATAAGCCCACCTCCCATTTTGCCCTTGACAATACTAAGTTCTGCTTCTAACCAATGCTTCTGTCTTGTCTATTTGCAGCAGTGAAGCAATCACAATTCACCCTGTGTTTCCATGCATAGATAACATGACAAAATACTCTTGTTGGTTTCACAGCAACAGCCATCCCCCCCCCAACAAAAAAAATAGATGCTACGGTTTACAAGCATCCAAGAATATCAGCAATACACCACTTATTTCATTCTGTGATTAGCCCATAACACAAACCGGAGTCATTCTTAAATGGCCATTTAAGATGTGACAATTCAATAAGTACTTTTAGTTTGAGGGTTAGAAATGCAAGTCCAAAATCCCTTCACACGGCACACCAAGGTTTTCCTTTAGGATGCTTATCAAAACACAATCTTACTAGTATCCTGGAAGGGGTTGTAATATATTTTACACAAAACAATTTTTAAAAAAACAAACCAAAAAGAACCAGTAATAAAAGTGGCTTGTCTATTTTCTTCCTAGTAGATATGAAGCTTTTCTGTAAACAGGCATTTTAAAACAGAGGGCTGAGAAAGCAGCAGTACAACAGTGCCATCCCCTGTTTGCAAAAATCATTGTTTGTCTCGATAAGCAAGGCAAAAGCCTCCATAAATTTTTGCTTGTCATTTTCCCTTCCCTTCCCTTCTTGTTTGTAAAGCAGGCTTACTTCAACCTGCAAATAGGAAGGAATTTTCTGGTGTCTCTTTGGGCTGCTTCTTACATTATCTTAACTAAAAGAGTTGCCTTGGTAAGAGATAAGTACACAAAAGCTGCAAGCCACAAAACATACACCTCTCTTTCACTCTTGAAAACAAAAGCCTGTATAAATAAAACTGCTAATAGATTTTATGCTTATTTAGACCATTTCTGTACCGGCTTAATATAGCAAAACTTTTGTAACACCAAATGTTGCAAAAAATAGACAACTGGCATGGACTCATAGCACTTCCTTCTGCTTCCTCCCCACTCAAGACCTCTCAACCCGGACTCCAACCATGAACCCTGGCTCTCTCCCAGGACCCAAACATACTCACCAATCCTCTCCAAAAAAAAATCTCACAATGAAGAGAGCACTGAGAAACTGCTGATACCACCCTGGTCTCTCCTTCTCTAGGTTTGTTTTCATGAGAAGACAGCAAGGTTAATGGAGCTGTGTCTCAGGCCCGGTCACAGCTGTGTCCCGGTCAGCACTCAAGTCAGCTTCTTTGCACACACCCAGCTGCAGCAGGTTGGTTGGGTGAGTTTCCTAGAGGGCCCAAATCATGGCAAATAAAGCACCCCTACGTCCACAGCACAGCTCTTTCTTGGGTCTCTGCATGCCTCTTCGCCTCTAGCTGCTTTTATTGTCTTAAAGGTTTTAGATTATTCTGCAAAGTGGGTATGCAATTTTAAATCTTCAGATGAGAATGCCTTTACAGTGGTACCTCAGGTTAAGAACTTAATTCATTCCAGAGGTCCGTTCTTAACCTGAAACTGTTCTTAACCTGAGGTACCACTTTAGGTAATGGGGCCTCCCGCTGCCGCCTCATGATTTCTGTTCTCATCCTGAAGCAAAGTTCTTAACCCGAGATATTATTTCTGGGTTAGCGGAGTCTGTAACCTGAAGCATCTGTAACCTGAGGTACCACTGTATTTAAAAAACACACAAAACTAGATGCATGTTCACTTTCACCAAGGCAAGTGATAGGCCTATGATGCATTCAATGTGGAGAGCTCTGGATGTCACAAAACCCCATGCATAGACCCTCCTAGTGTCCCTGTTTTCCAGCGACATCCCTGATTTAGGGAAGCTATTCTGGTTTCTGATTTGATCCTGGAATGTCCAGCTTTTCCTTACGACATCCCTATTTTCATTGGAGAAATGTTGGAGGGTATGGAGTTATCCGACCCCCCGAGCCATCTGAAGACAATCCTGTATAGGGAAGGTTTTTTGAATGTTTAATGTTTTAATGTTTTTTATATATGTTGGAAGCCACCCAGAGTGGCTGGGGCAACCCAGTAAGATGTGGGGGGTATAAATAGTAAAATCATCATTATGGAATGGGACCCTATTTTCATTGGAGAAATTTTGGAGGGTATGTATGCATCTAAGTTCAATGCAAAATTTATTTGGATAGTGACTTATCCCCAGCCCCCCCCCCAAAGCCTGCAGAAGGAGCATAGGAAAGCTTTGTTTCACTGTCATAAATGCAAAAGCATGGTCCCCATCCAAGTACTAACCAGGCCTGACCCTGCTTGACTTCCAAGATCAGACGAGATTGGGCATGTTCAGGGTAGTATAGCATGCTAAGGTGTACCTTTCCCCCCAAGCTTTGAGGAATGTGCAATTGGTTGCTTCACCTTGCAGTTAGTGATTTTATACCAGTTATGACAAAGCGATTCTAGCAGTTTCTGGCTATTTAAGTGCTGCCCTGTGTTGTTTTATTATTGTAAAACCCGCCCTGGGACCTTCTGGCGAAGGGCAGGTAATAAATGCACCAAATAACTACATAAATAAAAGAGAGAACATTTGAGTGCAGAGAGATTAGTACTTGCATATGACATATGGCCACCCATTTCTGTATTGCTAGATTGTTATGAAAGTGGAGGATATAAATTTGCAAATAAATAAATAAAACAAATCCCTTGGGCATGAGAATGTCAAGAATCAGGAACAAAGGACCACACATGTTGCACGACAACATGAGTTGCAGAAGCAACTCTCCCTTCACTGAAAACACCCATCTGGAATGGCACAACTGGGAGCAGAGAAGCAACCAGAGGCGTGTCCCGGCTCCTTTGCACTCTTGGCAAGGCGCTGTATTGGTGCCTCTGAATCCAGGAGACACCATGGACCAGAAATTCAAAAAGTATTTTGCACTCAGCCAGTGACATCCTCCATGGCCATTGGGGTTGCGTCTGCTCTGCCGCTGCTGCCCCCCTCCTCTTCTTCTTCCTCTGTCGTCTGTACCTGCCTGCTTTCCTCCCTTCCTCCTCTTGCTGCTTTCCCTTCTGCCTCAGCACCCAGAGGAGCCTGTGCACCTCACCTGCCTACGCAGAGGAGCAGCCCAGGCAGTGCACAGACAGGTGGGCAGGCTTCTAGTCACTGCAAGCCAGAGTGAAGAAGAAGCATGATTTTTGCATATGCATGCACATGCGCACATACACACACACACACACACACACACACACAAACAGGGCTTGCATCCTTGGCGGGTGCCAGTCTAACCAACCCCTAAGTACAATCCTGGAAGCAACACAAGGGCAATGGATGCTTAAACCTTTCCCTCAACCCTCTGCTTCTCGTGACCTCACCAAACCTCTTTAAAAGAGGATTGTCAAGTGACTACAAATGACATTTGTGTATCATTTAACCCCAAGTAAGGCTTTAGACCAAGATTTCCCAAACTGGGGTCACCAGCTGCTTGGGACTACAATTCCCATCATCCCTGCCCACCAGTCCTCCTAGCTAGGGATGATGGGGGTTGTAGTCCAAAAAGCTGGAGATCCGAGTTTGGAAAGCACTGCTTTAGACCAAGGATGAGGAACAGTCCATGGGTCACACACACTTCCAGAGTCAGTCTTCCAAGGATCATGTGCCAGTGGTGGGTGAGGCCAGAGTCAAAAGAGGACATGGCCAGAAGAAGAAGAAGAAGAAACGAGGGGAGCAAAAGATGTGACTCTTACCTTTGTACAGTAGGCTACATTCCATCTTTGCATAATCAAAAGTTTCTATACAAATTGATTGAAGGGGATGGAACGACTCCCCTTTTTGGAAAGGTTGCACCATTTGAGACTTTTTAGGTTAGAGAAAAGGCAACTAAGAAGCAACATGACAGAAGTGCATAAAATAATACTTTTAATAATACATAAAATTAAAAAGTTAAAGGACCCTGGGATGGTTAAGTTCAGTCAAAGGCGACTATGGGGTTGTGGTGCATCTCACTTTCAGGCCAAGGGAGCCGGTATTTGTCCACACAACTTTCTGGGTCATGTGGCCAGCATGGCTAAACCACTTGTGGTGCAACGGAACACTGTGACAGAAACCAGAGTGCACAGAAACGCCATTTACCTTCTCGCCGCAGTGGTACCTATTTATCTACTTGCACTGGTGTGCTTTTGAACTGCAAGGTTGGCAGGAGCTGGGACAGAGCAACGGGAGCTCACCCCATCATGGGGATTTGAACTGCTGACCTGATCAGCAAGCTCAAGAGGCTCAGTGGTTTAGACCACAGCGCCACCCGCGTTCCTCCTGATGCACGGCATAGAGAGAGTAGAGAAAGGAAAGTTTCACCCCCTCTCTCATAACATTAGAACTCATGGTCAGCCAATGCAGTTGAATGTTGGAAGGTTCAGGACAGATAAAAGAAAGTGCTTCTTCATGAGGACACGGGAAGCATTGATGGCATACCCTCTAACATTTCTCTGATGAAAATAGGGATTTCCTATTCCATCATCATCATAACAATAATTTTATTATTTATACCCCACCCATCTGGCTGGGTTGCTCCCACCACACTGGGCAGCTTCCAAGGCTGGATCTACACACAGAAAAAAACCACTATAAGTCATAAATTAAATCATTACAACAAAAGAAAAAACGCTGTATGTAAAACCACATAAACAAAATGCTTTACACCTCCATCTGGATTTGCATGTTTATACCGCAATTATAGCGTTGTAACATGGCTAATGTAGCTGAGTCCCTACATATATATAAAAACAAAACAAAACATTTAAAAAACTTCCCTATACAGGGCTGCCTTCAGGTGTCTTCTAAAGGTTGTATAGTTACTTATCTCCTTGGCTCGGGGCTGCATAACTCTATGCCCTCCAACATTTCTCTGATGAAAACAGGGACGTCCTAAGGAAAAGCGGGACATTCCAGGATCAAATCAGAAATTGGGATGGCTTCTGTAAATCAGGGACTGTCCCTAGAAAATAGGGACACTTGGAGTGTCTGTGATGGCCACCAGCTTGGATGACTTTAAAAGAAGATTAGACAAATCCAAGGGGGGCAAGTCTTTCAGTGGCTACTAACCAGGATGACTGTGTTCTGCCTCCATAGCCAGAGGCTATATCCTTCTGAATCCCAGTTGCTAGAAACCACAGGAGGTGAGAGTGCTGTTGTGCTCAAATCCTGGTATCTGGTCAGCCTCTATGAGAACAGGATGCTGGATTAGATGGGCCTGATCCTGCAGAGCTCTTCTTATGTTCTCATGCACACACCTCTCTATCACAGTTTAATGCCACAGAAAAGCACTTGAAGAGGGTTCGTATCAGGGCCAGTGACAGCTGTTGCCACCTGAGAAAGAGGCATAGTTTGGGCAGTCTCCTGATAGCCAGACAGGGAGACCTACAGGGCTGCATTTATGCAGAGAAGAGAGATGCAGAAGAAGCAGGGAGACAAGAATTGATCGCATTAAGGTACGGCCTGTAAAGATTAAAGGAAACTCAAGAAAGAGGAAGTAACTGTGGTTACTACTAGAGTTTAGTATTCATGTCCTCTTTGAATCCTCCGCAAAATTAGGTAACGAAATTCCTGCTGCCGTTTCTGCCTCCTGATATAACATTACACTCGAGGGCTGGCTTTACAGAAAGACCTCCGCCCACTCTGATCACTGCACAGCTCTGCCCTCCAGTCTAATTGTTAATTCATGAGAATATCAAACAAAGATGCTACGCGGTTTTCATGAACACCCCGCCGCCGCCCTAGTATTTCCAAACTCTTCGCTTTGATCAGCTTTTATTCAATACAGTCAATATCCTCCTTTAAGCAGCCGCAAGAGAATGCTCTTTAAAGAAGAAGAATCCCTCTCTTGCATATTATGCTAAGTGTGTGGTGTGCAACTATATCTGTGCTTTTTCTCTATTTAATCATAGGCGCTGGAAAGGGAGGTTTTCCCTGGGGAGAAAGGTTTATTCCTTCCTTCCCTAGCCAAGAACTGAATGAGACTATTATACCTTTAAAGCACAATTGAAGCAGACACACTCACACCGAGAATTCTGGGCACTGTAGTTCTACCCTCACAGAGTTACAGCTCCCAGCAACCCTTAATAAACTACAGTGCCCATAATTCTTTGAGGGGGGGAAATGTGTTGTGACTGTGCTTTAAAGGTAAAGTGTGTACATAGCTAGAAAGGTGTGATGGCCTGGGAATCTGATTCAGAGGCTGAACCTGAGGAATCCCAGCCTGCACAGGAGTCCCCACCTCCAGGGCCGGCTGAGCCGGGGCAGGGGCTTCAATCTGAAGGGCCCACACCTGTGCTGGATCCTCAGGAGCAGACACCAGCTGAATCCACTCTGGCTCCAGAGGTGATTGAGGACCCATTGCCTGCAGGTGCTCCTCTCCCAGCCCTGTCAGGGGAAGGTGAGGTTGCCTCTGGGTCCAGTAACCCTCTAGCCTCTCCTGAGCTGCAGAGGTTCAGGACAGAGAGGCGGAAGGAACTAAGTTCTCTCAGGAGGAGTGCTCGCCTCCAGGCCAGGGGAGGCGAGTCACCTGTGGACCGGGCTGCCCGGAGGAGATAAAGGCCAGCCCACCCAGTCCCAGGTTGCGGGAGCAACATCATTGGTACCCTGTTCCTGCTGGCACCCTGACCTGCTCTCCCGAGTTCCTGACCACGCCCGACTCCTCGCTTTGAACCTCGCTTCGCCCCTGATGGACAGCCTCCTTACCCTCAACCTAGGACCAGACTTAGACCACGCCGCATGGTAACACCCCCCCCCCCCCGGGACCAGCACAAAAGGATTTGAAAAAGAAGTGGGGGGAGCTCCTGATGTCACTCGGGAAAGCAAGTCAAATGAAGTAGGACCATATCCAAGGCTTCATCAGAAAAGAGCACCAAAAAATACAGAACCCTGGTGCCTCTGGAGAATATGCGATCTTAATTGCTTGATGACAACCAAGAGGGAGAAGCACTTGAAATGCAACCATTTGCAGAAAATGCAGTATATCATTCCACGGAGTTTATTATTTTCCCGTCATTTCAATCACGATTAACTCAGCACTGGACGCTTAGATGCTCCGGCATGCAGTTATCAATAACACTCACTAATATATTGCTTTTGGAGCCGTCACCATGTGTGTCTAGCTGGGGTTTCCTTGTCATCATTTTTCATGAATGCAAAAGCAGCTGAGCCAGTGGCTCAACCTTTTATGTCACAATGTGGATCCTGACTTTCAAAGCCCAAATCGTTTAATATAATTCCCAGAAACTACAGCAATGAAACTGCACGGATTCAGTCATTGTATTTGATGATTAAAAAATAAATAAATGACCCTGTGGCTGCAACCAGGGTGATAGGGC